TCGGGTTTCTAATTCATATATTCGGGTCGGGTGAAACTTTATTTTAGTCGGGTCGAGTCGGTTTTTTTAAGTGTGATATTCGAGTCGAGTTCGGGTTTAGGGTGAAAAATACCCGACCCGAAAATATATATAATTTTACCTTATATATTTAGAAATAATTACAATAATACCTCTCTATATATAATATTTTTCAATTAAGTCACTGTTTTTATTGAATAAAAATAATTTTTTATTATTTTGGGTCGGGTCGAGTCGGATGAAACTTTATTTTGTTCGGTCGGTTGAGTTTTTTAAGTGTGATATTCAAGTCGAGTCGGATTTTTTTAAGTGTGATATTCGGGTTCGGGTTTAGGGTGAAAAAAATCGACCCGACCCGAAAAATATATATAATTTTACCTTATATATTTATGAATAATTACAATAATACCCCTCTATATATAATTTTTTTCAATTAAGTCAATGTTTTTATTGAATAATTTTTTTATAATTTATTGAAACGAATAATCAATCAATAAAATACAAATTTAATATTTTTTAATTTTTTATAATATATTACTACATGTAAGTTGTAAACAAACTAAAATAAAACAAAAAAATAAGAAGAGCAATTATATCATTTTACATTATTGAAATTAAATTTATCTAACATGTATACGAACTAAATATAATATAGAATTAGATTTCAATTCTATTTCCTATCAACCAAATAAAATATGAAATTGGATTTTCCTTCCATATTCTAATTCTATCGTAAACATTCGACGGAACCAAACGCCAAGAGAAACAATGCGAAACCATGTCTGGGGTTGAGCTCTCTGCTTCGGAGAAGAAGAAGCACAAGAAGAAAACCATACCCGAATTCGAACCTAAAGAATCATATCAGGACTTCATGATTAAACCTCAGAGTTCAACCCCTTCCATCGACACTTCCCAGTGGCCCATCCTCCTCAAAAACTACGACCGCCTTAATGTCCGAACCGGACACTACACTCCTCTTCCCTCCGGTTTCTCTCCTCTCAAGCGTCCCTTGGCCGAATACATCAGGTACGGTATTTTGGACCTCGATAAGCCCTCTAACCCTTCTTCCCATGAAGTTGTAGTTTGGATTAAGCGCATTCTGCGCGTCAAAAAAACCGGGCACAGTGGAACTTTGGACCCCAAAGTCACTGAGAATCTCATTGTTTGTATCGATAGAGTAACACGACTTGTTGAATCCCAACAAGGTGCAGGCAAGGAGTATGTCTGCGTTGCCCGTTTGCATTCCAAAGTTCCCGACGTCGCTAAGGTTTCTAGGGCCCTCGAAACTTTAACCGGAGCTGTTTTCCAACGGCCGCCGTTGATTTCCGCCGTTAAAAGACAGCTTAGGATTAGGACTGTCTACGAAAGTAAGCTTCTTGAGTACGACGCCGATAGGCATTTGGTTGTTTTCTGGATCTCTTGCGAGGCGGGTACATATGTTAGGACTATGTGTGTTCATTTAGGATTGATTCTTGGTGTTGGTGGTCATATGCAGGAACTTAGGAGGGTTAGGTCTGGGATTTTAGGGGAGAAAGATAATATGGTGACGATGCACGATGTTATGGATGCTCAATGGGTTTATGATAATTATAGGGATGAGACTTATTTGAGGTGGGTTATTATGCCTCTTGAAGTTCTTTTGACTAGTTATAAGAGGTTGGTTGTTAAGGATTCTGCTGTTAATGCTATCTGTTACGGTGCAAAGCTGATGATTCCGGAACTACTTATTCGAGAACGATATCGAGGTTGGGGAGGAAGTTGTGTTGATGACTACCAAAGGAGAGGCGATTGCGTTGGGGATTGCTGAAATGACGACTGCGGTAATGGCTACTTGTGATCATGGTGTGGTGGCAAAGATTAAGAGGGTTGTTATGGACAGGGATACTTATCCAAGGAAGTGGGGTTTGGGGCCGAATGCTTCGATGAAGAAGAAATTGATTGCAGAAGGAAAATTGGATAAGCATGGGAAACCAAATGACAATACTCCTAAAGAGTGGTTGAGAAATGTTGTGTTGCCAACCGGTGGGGATTCTATGGTTGCAGGCATTGCACCTGGTACAGCTGTTGTAGAAACAGAGATTACAGTGGTAGAGAAGGAAAAAAGTGAGGATGGGGAGGGGCACAAGCGCAAATTGGATGAAAGCAGTAATAGCCCTGTCCCAGTTGTTGCTAAGAAAGCTAAAGCTGAGGAAGCAGAATCAGAGAAGAAAGAGAAAAAGAAGAAGAAGAAGAAGAAAGATAAAGAGGATGCTGGTGCAGAAACTGAAGAGAAGCCTGAGAAGGTGAAGAAAAAGAACAAGGATGAAGCGGCTTCACCGGATACAGGCAAGTCCGAGAAGAAAAAGAAGAAGAAAGTGAGCGAGACTACAGATGTTGTTAGTGAGGCAGATGATGCAGCCGATTAAAGCGAAAAGAAGAAAGATTTAGTAGAGGAGTAGATGAGCAGCAAGTCTCAGACCATTCCTATTTATAGGAAACCAATTTCTCCCTGTATGTTTAGCACCTACAGTCACATTTTTGTAGTTTTTACATTTTCTCTCTGTAGTTTTGGATTTGGTTTACTCTTGTGCAATGGAATGCTTTTATTATCTAAAACAGTCATTCTACATCTGTAACCAAGAATACTACCAAAATTACTTGGACCATCTTTTGTTATCAGATTGATTTCAGCCTCACAATCACTTTCTACTACCAAAATACTGCATTGGCTGTAACCAAGAAGCCAAGTTACTTGGACCATTACGAATAATACCACCAGCAGCACTTGAACAACCTGCCTTGGCGGCACTATCAGCGTTGGCCTTGACTTTGACCTGTCTCTCTGTAGGTGGCTGCCTACCAAATCGTGGGCCGGACTCTCGACTTCGATGCTGTCCATTTAGGTGTAAACTAAAACCCTGATGTTCCTTGCTGAGCTAAAAGTCGTCACTACCATGTCATCTATACAATGCTTCCTTTCGCAAATATCAAATATGTATGCCTGAACTTTGGAACAATTTTTGTAAATAATAAAACATCAATCATAACCCCCACGATAATTTATTGAAAATATTTTTATATGATTGAAAAAAATTGGATTAAATTTATTCATTGATTTTTCATTGTTGTTTGAATCGATTGAATTAGAGATCATGGAATGTATCGAGTTTTTATGGGCTTAATATTATGTCGGATTACCCACCATCATCGTAATATGATCGTAGAACAAAAATTAGTTAATCATTTTTATTATTATGTTTAGGGGTGAGTAGGGATGGGAATGAGTCGGATTTTTGGTCCACCTGACCCGACCCAAAAATTTTATATCTTTCACCGAATCGACCCGACGCTACTCGAAAAATATATACCCTCCATCGGACTCGAACCCAACCCAACTTTTTGAAATAAAATCCGAACCCAACCCGAAACAATAAAAAATATTATTTTTTAATTGAAAAAAATAATATATAGTGGGGGTTTTATTGTAATTATTCATAAATATATAAGGTAAAATTATATTTTTTTGGGTTGGGTCGGGTCGGGTATTTTCACCCTAAACCCGAACCCGAACCGAACCCAATTTTTTTTTTAAAAAAAATCCTACCCAATCGGGTCGGATCAGGTCGAAACCTGTCGGGTTTGGATCCCATGCCCATCCCTAGGGGTGAGTAGAACTCGACTTGACTTGAAAAATATTTTTTTATTTCGAATTATTAGAGTTATTTCAGTCAACTCGAATTATCAATTCGGTTTTCGAGTTTGACTCGAGTTGAAATTTCAAAAATTCGAGTAATTAAAAAAATACAAAATTTGGATGAGTATTTTGACAAATTTACGTTTTGGTCATTAATTTCCTATTCCTTCAATTCCTCTATTTTAAGTCAATTTTTTTTACCATATTTGAACCACATGCTCCTAAATCATCATATAATACATATTGCTTTTAATTCCATTTTTGATAATGAATTTTTATTTTTTCAATTTAGTCCTCCAATTTTGCATGATTTTCATATTTCTTCGATTCATCTTTTATTTTAAGTGCGTTTTTGGCCAATTTTAAACCATATGCTCCCCTACCACTACAGAATACATATATAACTTCAATTTCTATTTTTCACTAAAAATGTATCTCCTTTTTAAATTTAGTCTCATAACTTTGCATTTTACTCAATTTAGTCTTTTGACTATAATTGTTTACAAATTCTTTCTTCACATCAAATTCTTTAATTCCTTTATACTTCCATCAATCTTTTATCCTTAAAATACCTTCTTTGAAATATAATATCGTAGATTTGTTTTATAATTTTAGATTGTATGTGATATATTAAATAACATTGAATATGAAGAGATATATATATATATCATATATATAATTAGAGAAAGTCAAAAAATTGGAACTAATTCGTACAATAATATTATAAATAATTAATTAAATTTGTATAGAAACTCGAACAACTCGAATTGACTCAAAAAAATTTCAAGTCAACTTCGAGTTATAAAATACGACTTGTCAACTCGAATAACTTGAAATTTTTTAACTTTCCTTGACTCGATCGAATTCTCACCCCTAATTATGCTCGTACATGGCTTTTATATCCCATTGCACCATTTAATCTGAAATGACCCAACAACAAAAATGATTTGAAGGGCAGTCGTTCCTTGAAAATTTTAAATTAGTATACATTTTTAAATATATTTCTGTATTTTCAATTGATTATATGTTTTCATCCCCTTAAAATTTTATAAGTTTGTCCACTCCTAAAATTTTAGAAGTGTACCTCTTAATATAAGATCATATATCCGCCAACCGCTCAACTAACAAACCAACACAACCAACCTAGAAGGCCTAACAAACTAATTGTAACAAATTCTACATATTAGAAAAACTGGGCTGTGCTACTACAACCCAATTCGTCTTAGGGTCAAACTTGGGCTAAACTTCAATAATATATATTTAAAAAATAGTGTTCTTTTTTGCCTTTTCACCTGCAATTTGCTAACGAGCTCTTTGCTTTTGATGCACTGAAATTGAAGAGAAACGAAGGCTGATAGGAAAAGAGAAGAAAAGGGAAAGGGAAAGGGAAATTTGAGGAAATAATGGGAATAAAAGGAATAGTAAAGAAAGCGGTGGAGGTGGGAGAGATGGGATTCAACAAAGATGGTGGAGCCATTAACTGGTTCCCAGGCCACATGGCCGCCGCCACTCGCGCCATTCGTAGCCGCCTCAAGCTCTCCGACCTCGTCATCGAAGTTCGCGATGCTCGTGTTAGTCCAATCTCTTGCTTCTATTACTTTTACTCATTTTATTTTAAATTTCAGAATTTGTTTCTACTGTTTTTTTTAGTTAAAAGAAAATTTATTTGCAGATTCCATTTTCATCTGCTAATCAAGACTTGCAACCTCAGCTCTCAGCTAAAAGACGCGTCATTGCTCTCAACAAGAAAGATTTAGCCAACACCAATGTCCTCAATGTTCGTACATGTTTGCATTCAATTCTTCTTTTCTTTCAGTCGTCGGCTCCGTCTGATTGTTACTTTTATTAATTTGCTTTATATTATTTTTTCCAAGAAAGAAAAAAGCACCCTAAGATAAAAAAGCATTGATTCGATTACTTGAAAATTGTTTTGCTTTTTAGCTACCATTGAAAAAGTTGTAGCTGAAATAATAGCCAAACATAATTTTTACTAATTCTTTGGAGTTCCATGTCTGATGAAAACTTGAGTATTAAGATTATGATGTTTTCTGTCAATGAACTCTGTTAGGTTATGCCTTTGGAATATGATGCTTATTGGGTTACTATCCTTTTCTGCAGAAATGGGTCCGTTATTTTGATTCGAGTAACCAAGATTGCCTTCCTATAAATGCACATAGCAGAAGTTCTGTTAGAAAGGTCAGTTGATTCTCGGCTCTGCTTTCCTTTAATACCATTTCCTTGTAAAATTATTTCAGGGGGTGATTGATAAAGAAAACTTACTCATTAGTATATTTCAGAATAAATAACAAATCATCTAATGATTTCTCATTGAATTTTCTCATGCTGTTTCTTTTGCAGTTGTTTAGCCATTGTTAAATTGCATGGTTATTATGCTTATGGTGTTTAGCTTAGAATCAGGAACCTCAAAAGTATTATCAGTAAACTTTGAAATCAGTCTTTTGATAGGGTAGCATAATTAGATACTCATTAACTTCCATGGCTTTTTTGAATGTTGTTTCTCGACTGACATGATTATAATTTATAATATGATTTATTTTTTTGGAGTTTTAAGTCTTTAAAATTTTATGATAATGTAAACAAGATGTAGATCTGTACTTTGGATAACGGATCTCATGCTACATCCATAGTAAATCACCCCCCCTTCCCTTGTGGGACCTGGAGGAGACATTAGGATAAAGTGGTTGCGTGGGGAAGAAGTATTATAAAATAAAGAATGAAATATGCGTTATCTTTCTATTAAGCTATAAATGATTCTTCTTATTGAATTGCCTTATTTGTTAGAAATAAAAGTGTTAACCTAATTTCTTAGGCATTTATAACTTATTCTGATGTCTGGTTGAAGTTTATAACGGAGATAAGGTTCTGTGCACATTGTCCCTCTTGGATAATGTCATTCCAGGTAAATTTAGTATGCTATTGTCCAAGAAATCTATCTAATTAGATTACTCAAAAAAAAAAAAGTGTTTTATGTTCTCACTTCTGTTATTCCATCCTATGATATTGATTGTTCAAGATGTTTTTCTTTTCCCATAGGTTTGTTAAATAAATGAGTACTTTTGGCTTTTAGATTTTCAATTTGTTTTGGTATGGAACAATTTGAATCATGTGCTAAATATATTTGTTTATATTGTTGGTCAGTAATCCTTGCTATATTGTATCTGCTTATGACAGATTGCTTATATCATTATTCATACTGTATTAGGTTATCTTGAAATATTATTTCTTCACCTCTCTCTCCAGCTTCATCCATACACTGTTATTTTCATGTGCTATTTTTATCTCTCCTTTTCTCCCTATGATGATTCATGTGCACCAGCTTCTTGCTCTTGTGGAGTTCAAATTGAAGGAAGTTATTTCTAGAGAACCTACACTCCTTGTTATGGTAGTTGGTGTTCCTAATGTGGGGAAATCAGCTTTGATAAATTCAATCCATCAAATTGCATCAACTCGCTTTTCTGGTAAGAAGATATCTTTTAGGGATGATTTAGGGCAGAATAGCTTTGAGCATGGAAGTTGATTAATACAAATCCGTTGACTTGAGTAATAATAGTATGAATTTTAATGCATAGTGCAGGAGAAGATGAAACGAGCCACTGTGGGTCCATTGCCAGGTGTTACTCAAGATATTGCTGGTTACAAGGTCAAGTGTTCTACTTTTTCTCTTCCTTTCTCTGGTACATGCACATGCCTGACAAATCCAGAAACAAGCTGGAACTATTTTATGGAATCAATGCATGGCTTCTGTTTGTCATCTTAGCGAGCTTTATTTTATTACAACTTTTTAGTCTGGCTGTAACTAGTAAGTCTAGCCTCTGAGCCATAGTGCTCAACATGGCCTGCTAATATGATTCCAACTTAAGATACCTTGCGGGTTTTGGCACATTTAATAAAACCAGGTCAGTCTGTTCAGACAATTAATAAACTTTTCATATTGAGGTGACCCAGCTATTGTGAAATTGACTCCATATTGACAATAATAATCAGTAATGGCAGATTCACTTTGTGTTATGATACTTATTTTAACTTCAACATTGTATCAAGGACTTTTTTTAATATACCTAATGCTCACAAACTTACAGATTGCTCATCAACCAAGCATTTATGTGCTTGATACACCAGGAGTACTAGTTCCAAACATCCCAAACATAGAGACAGGGTTAAAGCTAGCTTTGGCAGGTACCTTTTGTGTACTATCCTTAATCACACCATATTGATCACATAAGTGTGTGCTAATTTTTGTTATAGATCTATATTCAAATGGGGATTTTTGTATTGGATTCTAAAAATGATGGGTGTTTCTGCAGTTTCTTTAATGTGTTTCTTTTTTTTTTTATAGGAATAGGAGGTCTCATTAAAAACCTCCTTCTTAGTTGGCTCTTGTGGAAGAGGCAACATCGGAAGGAGGAAAAGAGTACCTCATCTTATTAATAAACCAAAATTACATAATCTTACATCTTACATCATAACTTCCCAAAATAAAATACAAACCAAACCAACCATAAAGCTATAATCATCAACCAATTCCCTCCTTAGCTAACTTATCTGCCTCCGAATTGCAACTCCTAGGAATCCATCTAACAATAATACCCCTAGCAGAAACTAAGGTCCCAATTTCCCAACCAAAGTACTAAGAAACGTAGGGGCAGAAACTGGTGACAGAATCCAATCAATTGCTGATTTACAATCAGACTCTAGGATTAATCTTCCTTTCGAAGCCCATTCAGACGAAAGGAATAGATCAATTCCTTGTTTAATAGCCTTCAGCTCAGCTAACATAGGAGGACCAGGACCCACCGCTATAGAAAACGAGTTTAAAATATTACAATTCGAATCTTTCAAGACTCCACCAATTCCACCCTGCAGCCCATCACCTCTCACTGCTCCATCAACATTGAATTTAAAGAAATCTGTAGGAGGTGGAGACCAGTAGATAGCCTTCTTCGATTTATAGGAAATAGAGTGAAATGTATCTGCCAACGTTGGATCTCCTACTAGTATGTCAACCTGAATATTAGCATTAGGGAATTTCGCTAAAAACCATTTAGCTAATCTAACCCTGGAAATGAAGAACAAAGAAGAAGTATCTAGTTTCCAGTTCTCAAACACCACTGAGTTCCTAGCTTTCCATAAAGACCATAGAACGACTCCTGGAATAAACTTCCAAATAGTAGACTGCTCCCTTAGATAAGACCAGGAACAAAGAAGGGAAGAAGGTTCTTGAGGCATAACTGAAGAGATATCCCATAGTCTTAGAAATCTATACCACAATTCCTCTGCCACCGAACACGAAATAAACAGATGATGGATTGTTTCCTCATATTTATGACATAAAAAACACAGAACATCTTCTATCGAAATCCCTCTTTTCTTCAATTCCACTCTAACCGCCAATTTTTAATGAGTAATCTGCCAAAGAAATGTTTCTACTCTAGGAGGAGCCATTCCAGACCACACCCATTTCTTCCACTGAAAAGGAGTTCCCATTCTACTTGAAATAGTGAGTCTATCCGATTTTGCCGAATACACGCCTTCGCCTTTCCCCCGACCAAGCTAGAAAATCCTCCATAGATTCATTCAAGACAATATTATGAATCAAACTCATTAACGCACACCACTGCTTAAACTCCCAATCACAAAGATTTCTCCTTAGTGTAATATTCCAAACCCATCCATTATTTTCAAAGGCACCAAATTCAGCCACTTTACCCCTTTTATTAGCAGAAAGGGCAAAAATCCTAGGAAATTGTATCTTTAGAGAAGATCCATTGACCCAAATATCATTCCAAAACTCAATTGACCTACCGTTCCCCACTTGTAACTTCGAGTGAGACCTCAAACACTCACCAATCACGTCCTTTTTCTCATAGTTACTCAGAATCCCTCTCCATAGGGAAGAATCTTGAGGAGAAACAGCTTTGCCTATTGACAAAGATAACGTATTGATATTATGCAAACAACAAATTAATTTTTTCCATTGAGAGTCTTTTTCATTTGCATACTTCCAAACCCATTTCCCAAGCAAAACTCTATTAGCCAAACTCAAATCCAAAACTCCTAAGCCACCTTCTTCAAATGGTTGACATATCGTATTCCAATTCACCCAATGAACCTTTTTCTTGTCTGAAACTTCACCCCAAAGAAATCTGGCCATTGCTGAATTTAGTTTCTGATTTACCTTCCCCGGAATCTTAAAAATAGAGAGGTAAAAAATAGGTAAGGATGACAACACCGATTTTACCAACACCAATCTTCCAGCCATCGAAAGTGAAGCTGCTTTCCAGCCTGCTAATCTCGAGTAAACTTTCTGTAAAATGGGCTCCCATAACAACTCAGAATTTTTATTCGCCCCAATAGGTAAACCTAGATAAATCATAGGAAAAGATCCAATCCCGCAACCAGCTTCCAGTGCAAAATCTTGTAGACTGTCTTCTGTCATATTAATCCCAAACAATTTACTCTTGGACAAGTTAAGATGAAGCCCTGTAATTAAACTGAACACCCTCAAAACTCTCTTAATATTAAGAATTTGGGTGGAGGAGTCTCTGCAGAATAAGATTAGATCGTCTGCAAACTGTAGATGCGTCAAATTAAAAAGATTACCGACCTTACCAATACTGAAACCTTCGAAAAGGCCAAGAACAGCAGCCTTACTCAACATTAGATTTAAGAGCTCACCAACAATGTTGAACAAATGAGGGGACAAACTACACCCTTGTCTCAACCCCGTACCCATATGAAATTCTGGTGTTGGAGATCCATTAACTAGAACCGAAATTGAAGCAGAAGAAATACAATAATCCATCCAAGATATCCATTTATCCCCAAAGCCCAATACCTTCAATAATCTCAGAATAATTGGTCATTCCACTGAATCATAGGCTCTCTGAAAATCGACTTTAAAAACCACTCCTTTCCTGCCTTTTTTCCGCCAATAATCAATAGATTCATTGGCCATAAAAGCACAATCCAACAACTGCCGACCTGGAATAAAAGCGAACTGCGATGGACTGATCAAATCTTTAATCACTGAAACCAATCTTCTCGATAAGATTTTGGAGATGATTTTGTACAAGCTACCAACTAAACTTATAGGTCTGTAATCCTCAATGCCTTCAGGATTTAGTTTCTTAGGGATCAATGTAATAAAAGCATGATTGACCCCATGCTCCCAACTCCTTCCTCTGTGAAAGTCATCCACAATCTTTAATGTGTTTCTTGTTTTAGGCTTCATTTGGCAAAAAGGAATTTAGAACAGTCACTGCATTTATGCAAGTGGGAAGTACTTATGAGAAATTGTTTTCTGCTCCATTCTTTTTCTAAAATTATCAATTCTAAATTTTCTCAAGAGATAGGATGTGTTTAAATCCTTTAGGTAAATATAAAAATTGTAAGTTCAGCTTACTGCATTTCACCCTACCTATTGAAAGAATTTCAACTACCCCAATTCACTTGCAGGGTCTGTAAAGGATTCAGTAGTCGGTGAGGACCGCATTGTACAATACCTACTGACTGTGCTGAATACTCGAGGTACTCCCCTTCACTGGAAGCACTTAGCTAAGCAAATGGAAGAGATCACACAAATTTTTGAGGACAAACCAGGTTACAATCCAAAAGATCTTCGGCCAAAAATGAAGAAGTTGCCCAATGCATCTGATCTACTGTATGTCAAGGTAATAGGGGTAAACACTGACTTACGGCATAAGATCTTTCAGATGTAGCAATAATTTATATGAGCGTTACTAGTTTCCATAATCTTAAGACAACTATTGATAGGTGCAATGACTATATGATCATGATGCTCAAATCTGTCACTGTTTTGGACTCAGTGGCTACTATGCCTGAAACTTTCACACAGAAGTCATAACACAAGGCATCAACACTTGTACAAAGTAGAATGTGGCTAAGAGAAAGGATTATACTCAAGCTTATAGTCACAGGCAGTAATCAATGATTGAACAAAAAAACTGTGTGATTTATATATCTAATATATTGATTGCATAAAGATAAGTCTTAGTATTATGCAATAGATAGAAGCAGTAATAGTTGGCTCGTCTTTAACTGCTGTTTTAGTCTGTAGTTAAAACATGTGGAAAGTTTGAACCAGTTCCTTTTGAGAGTTGCTATGCAAAGCGAAGTTTGAATCATATTTTTAGGCTGAGTTGCTTAGTGTGCAGAGAAAAACAGTTGCAAAGTTTGTAGACTCCAAAAGGTTTCATTTAATCAAAACCCTTGCCTTTGTGTGTGTGCATATATTATTCATTATCATGTAAAAAATATTACCTGTAATTATGGTGTGCTGTAAATTCACAGCACATTCTCAAGAAAATATTTAAATTTTGAACAATCTGTATGATTTATTAATATTGGAGTTACTTTAAGTATGCAAGGCTGCTCCTATATGTGTGTGCGGGCAGCTCGATTGTCATTGTCTACTTCTATATGTGAATTCTTGTTCTTTTCGCGTGGCCTATTTGACATTTTGAAGTTTTGAACCGTGAAAAGGATTAACTACAAAACCTTATTGATTTATCATTATTTCTGTGTTCCCACTCTTTGTTCTTTCTGAATTTAGGATCTTGTGAGAGAAGTCCAACATGCACTGTATGTGAGTCTTTCCGAATTCGGTGGCAATATCGAAGACGAGAATGGCATGGAATGTCTTATAGAACATCAATTCGAAGTGCTGCAGAAAGCACTGAAGATACCTCACAAGTCTTCGGAAGCTCGTTTGATGGTATCAAAGAAGTTTCTTACTTTATTTAGGACAGGTAAACTTGGTTCTTTTGTCCTTGATGATGTCCCTGAGTTGAACCGTGAACCATAAAATAACATTTCCTCCATTATTTCCGTCCTTAATTTTGATTAAATGAACCCTTTTGGGTATCTTGAAGAAACATGGCAAGGTTAAAAGCTTTTCCTCCATTATTTTAGTCCTATATTTCTTTCTTTCTTTCTGGTATTGACAATTTTAAAAGCATAAGCCAATCAGGGATGGGAATTTGAATTGCATATTCGAATCAGATATAAATAAACATTCTCATATATCTATTATTTGAATCTGCATTTTTTTTAATGTGAATGCAGATTGTGAATCTGAATATCTGATTTCGAATTTGAATTACATAACAAAGAACATGTTTTTGTTTAAGAGGATTTTAATATTAAGATTATTGTATTGTTTTGTTAAAGAAGTGAAGCTTTTCTAAGGAGGCAAGATCTGCCCTTGGCGTCTTAAAAATGCTTGCCATAAAGTTTTTACCTTTTCAATCCATTATAAGTTGACATTAAAACTTCTAAAAAAATATATCACAACTTTTAAGAGAATAACATTAAATATTTTAATCAGTTTATAAAAGAATTTCTAATAATTTTTTTTTATTTGCATACTTATTTTTTTGGTAAAATAAGAGACTATAATAGAGATTATATATTTTGATAAAGCGTTAAAATTATAATTCATGTATATTTTGATAAAATGTTTAAATTTTTTTAAATCGGTAATATATTTGGATAATACCTAAATTGTGGTACTTATATTTAAATTTATATTTAAAATTCATATTTGAATTTGTATTTATTTTTAATTAAAATTTATATTTAAATTTTTCTAAAATGTTGAAATTGGTACTTACATGTAAATTTTGAACAATTATTGGGCATAACACGCATTTTTTTTTGAAGAATCTAGAAACTAATATCATCTTTAACTTTATTCAATTTCACCATATAGTTTAATTTGAAGCTTATAAACTCGGAAATTTGATTAATGCTCTTTAAACTTGAATTAAACTTTTTTTAAAAAAAACATAATCTCGAATGATTACGAGGTAATATATGTTTAGAATATTTTTTAGTCATTGATAACATATACATAACTTGCAGACACAACTATTCGAAGTAAATTAAACTTAAATGTATACAATATGTCTATTTAGAAAAAGAATATTATATAAATACAATCTAATGTATATAGCTGTATCATATGTCTCTAGCCACATAGAAGTAAAATCATTTTCCAACTGAATTCCGTAACAATTAAAAGGAAAATCATTTCCAAATTGAACAAACTCATCAACATGATCTCCCACATACCAATTCATGTCATCGCTTGGGGAAGAAGGCACCATTTCCATTTCACTCCATTCAAAGCTCTCAATGTCTTCTCCTTCAATGCTGCATGAACCACCACTCCCCATTCTAATCACAGCTTCTAGAGATTCCATCAAACTATTAACCTGCTCCTCATTACAGCAATCCTCACTCTGTGATTCCTCTAACAACGACATCAGAAGAGCGGTATCTGATTCCGGGACTTTGATGGCATTAGTTCCATTTATTGATCCTGGTTGTTCTTTTAACATGAGAGCCATACCTTGCAGCTTTCTTGGTTTGGAAGTAACAAGGAATGAAAGAGGCTATAAGATATCTTTGACTTGAGATTTCAAGAACTTGCAATGACTACATTTAATGGAAGCTAGCTAGCCATTTTATAGCCCCAGAGATTGTACTTAGGAGACCCTATTGAACGTGCACACATGAGCTCAACCAATAATCTATTAGACAATAAAAGAAGGAACAAAGAAAGAACATATAGGTAATAAAGTAAGTATGATAATAATGAATGTAAAACAATACACCTAGATTTAACGAGGAAAAATCTTTTTGTGGAAAAAATCACGGGCAGAAAAGGAAAAAATTATTATGCCAAAAAAGATTATAATAAGATTAGTGTCTAAACGTGATTTAAGATTTAATCAACTTACATCTAAATCCTAATCCTTAATATCTATTTATAGAGATAAATTTATTGTTTAGAATGGAAACTTGCATATAAAGAAATATACTCAAACAGAGTTTCCTACTCTTTATTAATTCTACCTGCCACCACAGACCCTCATTTTAACCTCTATGTAAAGTGAATTTTTTCCTAACCATCTCTGTCCGATAAGAAAGAATTAAAGTTACACAACTTTAATAATACAATTATTTTTTAAGTGGTGATAAATCAAAGTTGCATTAATTAATTTCCACCACAAGATTTGAAGTATATATCTCAATTGAAGGACTCCAAAGAAAGATCCCACTTTTTGTAGCAACAACTACTTTACAGGCAGGCGATATCCCACAACATTGGTTGCATCTGACTCAACCAAACATAGAGCTGACAAAATCTTATATGAAATGAACATTTTAAGCACCATTGCCAACTTGGGGTTTGCATTATTTTTTTGAATCTTTGAATTAAAGCATTAAACATAGTGCTAAAAAATGGTGGAAGTCAAATTGGACCACTTCAATTTGATTTGGATGGAAATGAATTGTGGTTGAGGGAAGTGTGCTTGCACACAGGTGTGATGGAATATGATGCATTCACATTTTATCTTTACAAAACTAATAAAAGGAGAATATGATATATTTTAGCCTGCTTTCATCTTTTTTTTATATATGTTAAAGTATGATAGATTTTTTATGCTTCAATGTTTTATTATGTATGTATGTATGTATGTATGTATGTATGTATGTATGTATGTATGTATGTATGTATGTATGTATGTATGTATGTATGTATGTATGTATGTATGTATGTATGTATGTATGTATGTATGTATGTATGTATGTATGTATGTATGTATGTATGTATGTATGTATGTATGTATGTATGTATGTATGTATGTATGTATGTATGTATGTATGTATGTATGTATGTATGTATGTATGTATGTATGTATGTATGTATGTATGTATGTATGTATGTATGTATGTATGTATGTATGTATGTATGTATGTATGTATGTATGTATGTATGTAGTATGTATGTATGTATGTATGTATGTATGTATGTATGTATGTATGTATGTATGTATGTATGTATGTATGTATGTATGTATGTATGTATGTATGTATGTATGTATGTATGTATGTATGTATGTAGTATGTATGTATGTATGTATGTATGTATGTATGTATGTATGTATGTATGTATGTATGTATGTATGTATGTATGTATGTATGTATGTATGTATGTATGTATGTATGTATGTATGTATGTATGTATGTATGTATTATAAGGAGAATATGATATATTTTGGCTTGCTTTCATCTTTTTATATGTATATATATATGTTTAAAGTATGATAGATTTTTTATGCTTCAATGTTTTATTATATATATGTATATATTATAAGGATAATATGATATATTTTGCTTGTTTTTCATGTTAACTTTTTATATGTTTAAAGTATAATAGACTTTTTGTGCTTTAATGTTTTATTATATATTTTTATATGTGTGTGTCATGTTTGTATTATTTTATTTTTTATATTACTATTTTTTTCTATATAAATTTTGTTATATTCATGTATGTGTATGGTGTTCATGGTTTATTTTGTAATTTCTTGCCACTTATTTTAATTTGTTTTCAATTTTTTTATCAAATCTTAATTTATTTAATATTTTACGAAGTTTATCACAAATGATTCAATTTTAACTCTAATATCCATTTATTAAGAAATTAAAATATCATTAAAATAACTTATTATATTGATTGGATTTAAAATTCAGATTTAATCAATTAAAAAATATTATCACTTTAATTTTAAATGATATATTTAAAAAGTTATATCATATTTCCAATAAAATTTCATCACGTAGTTTTAGTTCGACATATATCATATATTATTTTGTTCAACAAATTCTCGTCAACTCGTTTTTGTTATTAAATTCATGTTTTAATTAATTTGCTATCATTTTGCAAAAAAAAGATGCATGGTAAAGGAATTGTTATCATCTCTTGAGGTCCCGAGGTGTATACTGAAATGTATGAGCATTCATTATTAAATGATTAAAATTTTTTGAACATATATCATCTTATATTTAATTAGTCAACGTTAATGCATATTTTGTTCTCTAACTTTGGCAATAGGTATTTAGTTGGTCCTATTCTTTTTAATTTATTTGGTACTTTAATTTGGTTTTAGGTACCTGGCTAATACCTGAACTTGGTCATAGATACCTAATGTACCTTTGAATTTTTTTGACTCATTTGACCCATGAATCTGACTTTAGGTACCAATTCGATACTTGAAGTTGAAAAATGTTGCATGCATTAACAAAATACTTAATTTCATTAAAATTTTATTGACGTGCCACTTCAACTGATCAATTGATTTCACATAACCAACCAATCGATTGATGTTGCATGCCTTAAAACGAATATATGCATCAATCGATTAGTTGAAGGTAACATATCAATTAAATTTTAACAGATTTATGTTTTTAAAATTAATATATGTAATAGTTTTCAAGTTTAGATACCCAGTGAGTCCGAGAGAGTTCAAGTACCAATTGGGTACTATGGCTAAGGTCGTTGTACATTTTTTAAGGTACATGATATTTATTGATTAGTTAGAGATGACATATTAGTAAAATTGAAGGTAATATTTTTTTGGATTAACACAAGTTTTCCCCCCAAATTAAAGTATTTATTAGATATTTAATGCCAAATTCAAGGTTTAAATAAATTAAAAAAAAGTTAAGAGTTCAACTAGGTAGATTCCTAAGATCAAAATCATAGCTAAATAGAACCAAAAAGAATTTAGAAACCAACTAGATATCTAAATCAATTGTTAAGAGCAGAGACGGACGTATAATTTTATGTTGGGGAGGAATTTCTAAAATTTTAGAAGGCAACGAACTTATAAAATTTAAGGGGACAAAAACAAGATTATCAATTGAAAATACAAAGAAAATATCTAAATATATGCTAATTTAAAATTTTCAGATGAGTAACTGCCCCGCTTGCTCCCTTTCGTTCATTCTTGATTAAGAATCTATATGCAATAGCCCTTATTTAATCAATTGCGTCAAATAGCTTTACGAAACTCCGTCGATATCTATAATGTATAAAGATTTAGAAATTTTGGTTATGTAACTTCTACTCATTTTTGTACAAAGCAATGTGATGTGGAAATTTCGAAGGTGAGTAATGATTTAAGTAGGTGCAAATTCCAGTAGCATCTGTTTCAATCCCTGAAATGCCATGGCTTGGTGATGGGGAGGGCTTTCGTCTCCATTGCTAGGGATTTGTACATCCACCATTAGGTTACTTATATCAATTCGATTGGGGTTAATTATAGCTTCTAACAATCTCATCAAACCATCCAATTCTTCGTCATGTTATTCATTAAGTGACTCTTCAAGGAAAGACATTAGAAGATCATTGTAGTCATCGTGGTCACAGTTGATACGTGATGAATTTTCTTGCACTAAAAATGCCATTTCCAGTGAGAAACAAAGTAAAACTTCAATTTCCTTGCATAAACAAAGTGAATTAGAGTTGAAAACGTCGATCATAATAAAAATAAAAACCTAACTAGGATCTCTCTTACCAAATCATTAAGAATAAAATATCAAATTTACGAAAGCATATCTGAATTCATTGTTGGAGATCATCTACATTGAGATCTTCCAAGAATATAAGTTTCTCATTTCTTTTGAGTATAAATTCTCTGACAAGATAAAAGAAAATACAAGTGAACTTATTTCTTGGGGTCACTACCTCTTTATATAGATCAAATATTATGTCAGTCTTTTAAGTATTTATAATTCTGCCCCTCATCAAATTATAAATATAATATATGGTATCTACACTTTAACACCTATGATACATGTAACATAATTGATCACTTAATTTTATGTCATACACATAATAATATTATACATTATGCATATATGTCCACAATTATGAATTTTAATCCAACATAAAATGTATCGAAGCACAATTCTTATGGTTCACTCAAAAGGAAGTAAAACTTCATATAGTAAACTTGCAAACGTGCAATCCGGCTCCAATCATTCAGTTGGCACATATAATTGTGAAAAAGAAAGAAGAAAGAAAGTGGGCATATAGAAAAATCAAACATTGATAAGATAAGGGAATATAATAGAGTGTGTTATCTTCTCCAAAAAAAAAAGTAAAGATTTTCTTGATACACGAAATCTAGCTTTTATTATGGCCAAAGACATAAAAGAGAGGAATCAGCAACATCTTAAACAAAGATAGCCCACTCCTCTATACATCATTGACAAGTTTCCTCACCCATTATTTTCTAGTTTATGATTTCTTTTTCTTTTTTTTGAAGTGACTTGAATGATCAATGACATAAATGGGCTTACCTCACATGTTTTGGCTTGAGTGTTAGGAATTTACTAGTGGAAAGATCATCAAAAGTAAGATCAACGGCTTGAGTGTTAGGGATTTACTAGTGGAAAGATCATCAAAAGTAAGATCAACGTAGAATAAGACACATATAAAATACATCTGTCACATGGAGGTTTGAAGTTTCCGAGAATTAATTATGTTAATTAAAGAGATAATTTGAACTCTAGAGGATCGAATTATTAGAAATCTAAAATTTAAGGACTCAATTGAAGTGAAAATAGAATAATAAAGGACTAAATTGAGTGAATTAAAATTTAATGACTAAATTAAAAAAATTGGGACCATTTTGAATGCAGGTTAAAGATGGTAAACTAAAATTTAGTGATACTTTTCTTTAAAAAATTGTTGTATAGATCATGGTTTTCAGAACCGGACCGGTCATGCTACCGGTTCACTGGTTCAACCGGTCGAATCGGTCCGACCGGTCGGAAGAACCGGACGACGTCATAATTATTTAAAAAAGTAAATAAAAATACCAAAAATATTTAATAAAAAATAATTTTTTATATCACAAGTCATATTCAAAGCAAGTCATAACATATATAAGTTAAAAATCATAAAATCAAGTGAAACAAAATGATTCAAATTAACTACAACATAATATTTAAGGTAAAACATATTAAATAATAAATATAATTATATAACTATAATTAAAAAATAAATTTGGGGTTAAAAAATCATAACAAAATGATATTGTTTGGTTTAATTTTTTTTAAAACAATCCCACATGGCTAAGAAACATAGAAGAGCATCCCAAAAGTCTAAAGAGTAAAAATATGAGAACAAAACAATCTCACATTGCTAAGAAACATAGAAGTGCATCACAACTAACTTCTATAAATAATAGAGGTAATTTGACATTCAAAATCATGGAGCCTTTTGGTGAGCACTGAGTGAACTATTCTTTCACTTCAATTAAGCTCGAATTTTAGGCTTCAATCGAGCTTCTAATTTTTTTTTGAGTTCAAGCCTTTTTGAGTTCAAGTTTCAATATTATATTTCGAGTTTGAGTTGAACTTGATAATTTTTAGCTTGTGAGTTTGAGTTGAGTTGAGCTTACTTTTAAAGTTTTCAAGTTCGAGTCGAGCTCAGCAATACTCGAGTTCGACTTGGCTCGTTTAACAAACGACGTTGTTTGGTTTAATTTAAAAAAAAAACAAAAATCTTGGTTTTTCCCAGTTTTTTCCGATTTTCAGCCGGTCCGGTTCGAACGGTTCAGCAGTTCTGACCGGTTCACTAATAGCGGTTCAACCGATTTAGATTGAACCGGACTAAGCAACGGTTCCCGATTGAACCGACCGGTCCTGTCCGATTTTCAAAACAGAGGTATAGATCCATCTTCTATTTAAAAAAGAAAAAGTTTTGGACGTGGTTTTATAATAGGGTAAACTATATGTTTAGTACTTCAACTATTATTTTTGTTCTATTTTGATTATCTAACTATTTATTTTCAAAATCATACCTAACATTATGTTTTGGTTTCATTTTGGTCATCCGTTGTTGAAAAATTATCGGTGATGTCGACATGTCATCATAAGATAATGTTATGTCATCATTGAAAAATTAAAAAAAATGTCACGTCAGTAGTTCTGTTAATTTTTCAATGGTGAGTGGTTAAAATGAAACCAAAACGTAACGTTATGTATGAATTTGAAGAAAAAAATAATTGGGTAACTAAAATAGAACAAAAGTGATAATTGAAATACTAAACATGTATTTTACCCTTTATTATATTAAGTAGAACCATCAACAACATGGAATAATTAGGGAGATGGTTCTTTCTTTTGTCCCCAACTCACTTTTCCCTTTACCCTTTGATTATATTAAGTAGAACCATCAACAACATGGAATAATGAGGGAGATGGTTTTTTTTAAATTTATTTTTAGTGATAGAAAAAGTAAAAATGATTATAAATGACTATTAGAAAGGCTATATTAACATTTAGGAACCACTTAATTAACCTTTGTTCCTTAGTTAATTATATTCTCACGTGCAGAATAGTTTAGACTCGAATGTGGGTGTGCTCATTCAGTGGGCGTAATTATGAACCGACTGACGATCGACGTTTACAACATCGCTCTCAATAAACACTTAAGGATAATCTAATTCAACTGCTAGCTGAATCCTGTGAGTTACAGCTCAAGCCTCAATGAGACTCGCATCACATGGTATTATTTAATATAAATTTATTTTGGAAGAGTTAATTTAAGACGAGTTAATTGTTGAAGTAACTGTTCAATACATAATATGAATTTAGAAAATTATTTATTTTACATTTAAATAAATAATCTAATTAATTTATATTTGGCTAAATAGTCTAGTTAAATTATTTAATTTATATTTATTGAATTTTAAATATGGAGGTAATCATTTTTTATATGTTATTGATATTAAATTATAAGATAATATTTGTTCATGATATTTTTTAGTCATTGACAACGCGCACACACCTTGCAGACGCAGCTGCTTGAACACAAAATCTCAAGAGAGAATACTATTTCATTTAACCACTGATGCCACTCAATGAATTCAAAGTCTCGTGAATTAACTTCTAAGATAAATAACCTAATAAAATATATACGTTACCGATAAAATAAATAAATACTAAAGATAGACAAGTTTTGATAAATTCCATGATTCACTTATTCATTTTCGACGGGTTACCAATAACACGATGTAAACATGATGTTATTTGGGTAATTATGGATCGATTAAGTATATTTATCGCTGGTATGGATATATTTCGCCCTTGAAAGATTGACTCAATTATACATCAAAAAGATTGCGAGACTTCATGTTATAACTAAATACATAGTTTACTCTTTAATGTTTCATAAACAAATGATGTGAATTATTTGAATTCCAACTTAACTAAAAACTTATACACAATTAATCTAAACTTTAGGTTAAAAACTTTTTGGTCCTAATTTCGCCTAAAAATCTTATGTTTTGAACCATCTAACAAATGTACCAAATACTTTAGGTAAAAAACATTTTATTCTAATTATGTTTTGAACCATCTAAAAGTTTCATGTTTCTCAATTTTATTACTAACCATGCAAGTGATAACACATGTTACTAATATCCACGAGTGATCAAAATGAAAGTTTTTGATAGTTGGGTGACTAAAATGAAAACAAACCTCACTTTGACGACTTGTTTGCACAAATTCCTTTTTCAGTGATCAAAATGAAAACTTTCTGTAACGGTTACAACTGAAATCTAAGGAATTAACCGAAAGAAATAACAAAATAGAGAAGGAAGAGTGCAACAGCGAAGAAGAAGAGTAAGAAAAGCAGTAGAAAAGAACGACCGAAGAGAGAAAAACAATTCATTTCATTCACATCTTTCTTCCATTTCTAACTAAAACCTATTATATTTATAGCCTATTACAAAATAGCCCAAACCCTTTAGCCCAACTAGATATTCATTTATTTATAAAAAGACCCGTTACACTTTCAATAGCCGAGTGACTAACTGTGCAATTTACTCATTAATGTATTTGATAGTGTAAAAAGTAATTCCGGGAAGTGAATGATTACAAATTTCAATAATTTATTTTCATACGATTGTTCCCCTCAATCATCTCCCATAATCTATAATAAGAATGTGAAAAGATGTTCTCAAACAATGAATTTTCATTACTTATATTGCTCAATACAAATGCAAAATCATATACATCACCTTCTTTAACAAATTAAAACAATGGAAAATTAAATAAATGAGAGTTTTCAAAACAAACAGGTTATGGAGATACATGGCAACCAAATCATAGAAGGCTGGCCTGCCATGCCAAAGCTGTCCTTAACTCCTTCCTATATGTGACCATTGCAATACCCACTGTCACTATGAGATGGTAGGAAAAAGAAAACCCCAAAAAATATCACTCTTTTAAACATCATATGATCAAATCTTGGATGCTAAGGCATAGAAATCAAGGAATCGCATATCATCAACGACACATTTTCCGACAGACTTGAGGATTGCTGGTCAGAATGCAGATGAAGCACATAATTCGGTCGGAATTCGTAAAATTCTTAGAATAAATCAACTTTCTTTTTCTTCAGGTCTTGCTTCCATTTTGGTAAACTATAGAATGCTTCTTTTTCCATGCCGAGAACTGTCTGGAACTCCTTATCTGACAAATAAGCCTGAGAAATCAAAGAGTAAGAACAAGAAGATCTTCAGGGGCAATAGACAAAGAGTTAACTTAAAAACATCAATGGCAGAACAAACCTCTTTGCGTTTGAGATTAATTCCAGTTACAGCATTACCAGGTACGGCTTTCAGTTGCTCATAACTATATGTACCATTCTCATCCAGCTCTATCTTTTGCTTTGATTCTGAATCCACCCCATTGGTTTTGGGAACCACACTTGTCTCCATGGCTTCGGAAGCCTCTTGAGAATCCTTCAGAAGGGTCTGCTTCACTCTTTGTTTCAGCTGTACAATCTCAATGCATCAGATATAGTTTCACAATTATATGAAAAAAATGAGGTCAAATTCAATTAAAAAAGCTGGCATCAGGAAGATTTAGCAACTTCTTGTGGACCAGCCTAAAGCAATGGTTGATGTTTTTAGATATCTTCTATTCCAAAGCGCCAAAAGGGCTAATCTCCAATAGAATCCAATAATGCTTTTGGAAGTGTGATAGGAAGAGATTAGTCTTACGACTTCCAGAAAAAAAGAAAGAAAGAAAGTAAGAAAGAAAGAAAGAAAGAAAGAAAGACTATCTCAGATTATTTGAGAAAGAAAATGTTGTTAATGCTGGTACAGATAAACAATTCCTCATTGGGAAAAGAAGATAGAAGCATGCAATTGTTTGCCTGTTTACTGGATGAACTTTTAATCAAATTCCTCAAAATAAAAAAGAGGTTCGACTATCAACTTCTTAGTGCAAATAGAATCACGTGTTGAATCAAACAAGATTCTACACTTAATAGTGTCAACAGGAAATATTAGGGTTTACAATGTTACATGCAAAAATAAATAAATTGAAGTAGTCATTTGTATAAGTTTAAACGGAAAAAATATTCATGCACTGGAAATTCTAGACCCACCAAACATAACTTAAAAGGTAAAAGTTACAAAATAACTAATACATACCGCGTTAACTTGCAATGCTTTATTATTGTGCACGGCAGTTCCTGAAATCTGAAATAGAGCCAACACAATCTGCGGTATAGGTTTCATCTGTCAAGCCTTTGTCTGCTATTCTCTTTTTGTAACCAGTGCTTAGACCACCCTAGATAGGAATCAATCATAGGAAATTAGTCAATACCCCACAATTCTAAACCAAAGACTCTCAAGCAGTTGGAAATGAGATTCTAAAATTGTGAGATCAAATTGAATACCTTAAGAACCACCATAGGTTGGAAAAGTGCAATGAACTGTGGTGGCTCTTTACCTTCAAACATTTGAACCCTGCAAGAAGCATATATTAGCAACAAAAGCATTAGAACCATGGTATTCAGCCAATGGTAATATGATACCTGAATAGGTCTCCCCTTAAGCGAGTTATACATTGTATTAGCGAACCGAGCAGCCATCTTTTGGTCCTCCTGATTAAAAATATATATGTACTTTTAGAAAATAATGTAGCAGGAACAACCATCACCAGAATAATGGTCCATCAATTTCACATGTAACTGCATAAGCATCTCTTTCTTCTATACAAAATACATGAGAAATAGAAGCTATAAATAAGAGAAGTAAAGAAAAGGGGGGGATTCAGATCCGATGCAGAAAACATGCCAAAAGAGGTAGATATTGTCAGCTTCAAATGAGCTCAAAAACAATTCACCATTTGAAGTAAAACAAAGTATAAAGAATTTGCTAAATTTATCAAAATCAACCAGAATAAAAGTGGAACTTGTTGCAAAGAAATTGACCATGTAAAAGTAATATTTAAGAAACAAAAACGGAGGGGCACTAGGTGTCACAAGCAGAGACTCATGTGATGGTTAAAGCAACATCATCAATGGAAAAATATATTGTAGCTATGAAGTTCCTTCTTCTTCTTCTTCAACTGCATAGCAGAGATTTTAGGTTTTCATTTTCCTTTACGCTTTTATGATCAGGATACATGGGCGCTGTGGTAATTTTGTCAGATTCCAGAATGGGTCAAGATAATGATACTTACTTATACTTCAGTTTTAATTTGTCAAGTAATCTTAATTCCCAGCCTAATAGCTCTACTTTGTGCAAACTTCTCCCTAGCATTTATACCCATTGCAGAAGCATCCAGATTAGAAATCCCTAAATATAGATATGTTTCCAGTCGCAATTGTTGCAATCTGAATTAGCAAAAGTTTCCAAAATTTTACATGTTTTCAGATGATTACCAAATACTATTTGACCTCAATTATCAATTACTTAAACTGCAGTGCCACAGATCTGTTATCATATGTGTGAATTGACCATTTTGATAGCTTGATATCTAATTAAAAAAACCAATATAGGTGCATCCAGAGTTCTACCATCCTTGCCATTAACTAAAGGAAAAAAAAAGGTTCTACCCTGCCAACAATGGTTCAATTGGAAGTGCTTCAAGCTTGAAAAGTGGCAAAAACTAATGATAAATGAATTGGCAATTTTTTTTTTTGGAATATGAATTGGCAACTTAAGAATCCAAATTAGGTGGTGATTCAACTTTGCAATGTGCATGTAATTCGGGAGGCGTATCCACATTATTTTATTAATGACAAGCAGCTCATCTTGGAAGCACTCTTTTTAACATCAAACTCAACTGGTTCACATTGCTATGTGGATGTAAGTTCTATCAAGAACAAAGAGCTGAAGGTGAATGACTAAAAGGGAAAGACCATATTGTGCACGTTATTATATTACATCTAAGAAGAATGTTAATTACATCAATGCTATCCTTTCCAATCCAACAGCATAGAAAGTAATCTTCTTTCCTCTCACCCGAGTGGTAGTTATAAAGCACAATGTAGCAGTCTCCATTATAGAATTTACCAGCATCCTCTTTTGGCAATGGTGCCATGGCACTTCCATTGATGCACCATACCTGAAAATCAAGCAACACCGTGTCCAAGTTAAGAGATTGCGAATTTTAAGCCAAATAGAAACAGCCAAGCAGACTATTAACTCGACCTCCATCTTTCCACCGCCTTCAATCAAAGGAGGAACTTCTTCATCTACGAGAGTACTTTTGCTCATCCCCTCGACACCGACTCCTTGTTGCTTCAGCAAAGCTAGATGTAGAAAAGCACCATTCAACAATATCAACCACAAAAAATAATAGTGTGATTCGCAACTTAGTAAGTGATCCACTCCTTGTTGCTTCAGCAAAGCTAGATGTAGAAAAGCACCATTCAACAATATCAACCACAAAAAATAATAGTGTGATTCGCAACTTAGTAAGTGATCCCTACCAGCAACTTTTCCTCTTCCCTCATCAGCACCAACAGTTGTGGATCCTGCCGGCCAAGAATCAAATTTGAACTTGAATGAATTATTTTCATACCCTTGGATGACACGGGTAATGCGTGTTGTTTTTGGTCTTTGCTGGCCGCCAACAAAGTCCTGGAGATAAAAGGTTGAGAATAAGAATTCATGTTCTTAAAACACATGAATAAATCAAAACATGCCTCAAGCTCTACCTCGGCAACTTGACTGGCAGCTTTTCTGTCCTCTACCTGGGTCACCCGTCCAACCCAAACAAAAACCTCAACACCACAGTCTAGTAGATAACATTTGTTGTTTTCCAAGAGGCCTTTCGATAATTCCCCATCTAAAGTCTTCACTTCACCATCAATTATGCTACAGGAACTAGTGATTCCAAATTAGCAATCGATAAGACACGTACCTCTAAAAACAAGACTAAAAATAGTTTTCAATCAGGACTGCCTATTTAAATTGCCCCTAAATGGATGTTTTACCTTAAAACGAGCGTCTAACAAAATATAGTTAGGTTCACCCATGTGAAATAAAATAATGGTGACCATAAAAGTAGTTTTAAAGCTTTAGAGGTGAGCTCTAAGCTTAATAAGTGAATGTATTCTCTCCGAAGAAATTGTCTATCCACAGGAAAGCTTTCTAAGGTCCACTCTAAATATTATTTGTTGAAATATTTGCAGAACTCTCTTATATTTTGGGATAATTTTTAAGTTATTTAGATAGATAATCTTAGAAGAATCAATTGAGATTTGTTAGGAAGACTTTTTATCTCTTAGTAGTTTACTAGAATAAGGGAACTATTCTCCCAGTTATGTTGTGAGGTTTCTTTTTTCCTATTTAAACTCAGTTCTTTACCTAATAAAATAAAGAACAATTTATTGAATATAGTCTCTTAAAACTTTCATGGCATCTGAGCTAGGTTAAATCTCCAATAACACCGTGGTTAAAATAGTCTTCACTGGATATAAGATATCCAGCAACCAAACTGAGGTAAAAGATTTGCCATCAGAACAACTACCGAAGCGTCTCACCTCTCTTTTCAACTGACATCTAAGAAGATGGATTGCGAGAATTACCTTGAATTGTCATAGTCCATGTAGTTAACAATTGATGGGCACCGCAAGGTGGGCCATTTAACTGGAGAAGTCAAGCAACCATAAGGGTGAAAATTGAAGAAATCTTTGTATGGCTTGAAGCAATCACCAAGTTCTTGGTTTGACAGATTTACCAAAGCATTGATTAAAAATGGATATAGTGTCAGTCTGATCATAACTGGTGATATCACTAAAGAAATCAATAAGTTAAAGGGTCTTTCGGTTGTTGAATTTGAAACTAAAGACTTTGGTTCACTCAAATATTTTCTGGGAATGGAGGTAGCTAGATCAAAAACCAGAATCATTATCTCTCAAAGAAAGTACATAATGGATTTACTCACCGAGACTGGTATGTTGGGATGCAAGCCAGCCAAGACTCCTATGGATCCGAACTTAAAATTAAGGAAATATGACATGGGAATTCTAGTAAACAAAGATCAATGAGATAAACCAACCAAACATTACTTTTTAGTAAGTATCATGAACCAACATATGAATCACCCTAGAGAAGAGCACATTGAAGCGCTCAACATGATTTTAAGATATCTCAAGATGACACCAGGATACAAAATAATTTAGAGGAAAAATGAGAACCGCCAGAATTTTTTTTTGAGAGAGTCAACCAACAGAAGATCCACGAATGGTTATTGCTCATTTGTTTGGGGAAGGTTACGTGGAGAAGCAAAAAACAAAATGTGGTGTCAAGAGCAATATTGAAGAAGAATTTTGAGCACTAGCATTAGGAATTTAGGAAGGAAAATGGATACAAAGATCGTTGTCAGAATTGGAATTCAACTTTAATGGACAGTTTGAACTACAAAGTGACAACCAATTTGTCGTCAGCATTGCCAAGAATCATGTCCACCATGACCGAACTAAATATGTGAATAATAAGTTGCAGAAATATGAGAAAGCTTAAGGATTTAAGTAAATAAAAAAGCTTTTAATGTGTGCTTGCTACAAGGAGAAAAAAAGTTATGAGTCCGATTCTACTCTTGCATATCCATGAACAGTTGCTTAACTTTCTATTATGGTTTAATAATCTGGTTGAAATCACTAAGAAACTAAATTACAATTACCAACATAAAAATAATATGCATAGTTTTTGCATCTAATTCTATAAAAATTTTGAAGGCACCTTAATATTAGGAGAGATAAATGGGAGAGAGCAATAGAGAATAAAAAAAGTCACGTTTCGTCCGGTGAGGTATGGACGGCGTTTGTGGAAAATCTGAGTCGGAGAGTGTCAAAGAGTGTGTTAAGGGAGCTCTTTCAGTATCATGGGTCGGTTATCTGAATCTTCATCCTAAGAGTTTTGGAGAAACCAAAATACAAAGTTTATACTTTTGCTTTTGTTCAGTTTACCAATGAGAAGAGTCTGATTAATTCTATTGCGAAAGTTAACGGTTCGTTGATCGACGAGATGAAAGTTTCAGTGGGGGTGGTGAAATACCAGAAACCTCGGAGAGGTACTTCCACAAAAGGTTTAAATCAGCCTGGTAAGAAACAGTCAGAGGGAAATGAAATGGTGAAAAACAGGATCCGTAATGTGAAAATAAGAAGTATAAGAGATGATAGGTAAAACAAAGAAGTTTTGGTACAGAGTAAGAGTCTGGGGGGAAATCACGAGCTGGTGGAAAAAAGAGAGGAACTTCAACAGAGGGAATAAGAAAGAGGAATGTATGGCAGATGTATATTCCGTCGAAAGAGACGGATTGGATGAAGCACTCATTGACGGGGGTCATTAAAGCTTTCATTAAGTTGGAGCTGGTTCAGAAGGCTTTATTCAGTGATGGTATTGATGTGAAGCTAGTAAGCTGGGGTTATGCATGGAACTCATGTATTGTCACTTTTCAGGCGATTGAAGAATTAGTTGAGACATGTAATAGCAAGAAAAAGGAATTATCATTCTGGTTCGATTGGGTGGAACCTCTTCTGGATGAAAACGAAATTCCAAAGGCGTTATGTCTGGTTAAATTGTATGGTATTCTGTTGAAATGTTGACAGGAGTCTTTCTTACAGAAACTAGCTAAAAGATGGGGATAACTAGTTTGTATATTGGAGTCAACAAGGAATTGAGGAGACATGTCTGTAGCAAGGTTGATGGTTAGAGTGGAAAGCCCATTCGATGTTCATAAGACGATCACGATAGGGCCATATGGTAGAACTTTTAAAGTCAAAAATAGATTGGGTTCAGTATTCCAGAAGCTAAGTTATCTTAGGGAAAATGATTCAGACATGGTGCCAGAGGATCAGTGGATAGAGGATTCGTCGGAGAAGGAACAAGTTTGAAGGAGGTTGGCGGTAATGGAGGAGGAATACAAATAGTTGAATTATGAATCTAGAACTAGGGTAGTATCGTGGCTTGCAGGATGAAGGATGAATGGTAGTTCAGGGGAGAAGTTGAGAAAGCAATCATTAATGTTGGGTAAGGAAAATGAGAACATTAATGAAGCAGGGACATATTGTCTTGAGCAGATCAGGGGATTAATAGGGGATTAATAGGGGATTATGCGAGGCTGGGGTTAAAAAGAAGTGTGAGTTTATCAATTAATGAACATGCCCAAATAGACGTAATGAGTGAGCCCAATTCGCCTATCCTTAAAATCTACCCTTTAGGGTCGTCCTTTAAAATAACTCAAGGTGAATTTAGAAATGAGTCTGGAAATCAAGCCCAAATCCCAACGGTTGTTGAGGGGGTGACTCGGGTGTATTTGGGGAGAAAGAGATCTTACCTATAGGAGGTGGAGAAGGTAGTGTAAAAGAAAGGAGTGGTTTGAATGGGAAGGGTTGTGGGTCAAAAAAAAGGAGAGAATCAATTTCTGCAGACAAGTTTTAGAATAAGTAGCTTTACATCATTTCCGAGTGTAATGTTTTGATAAGAAGTAAAGTAAATTGTAGTATTAAGGAAAAGAGGTTCAAGAAAGTTTACCGTAGATCTGGAGGCAAAAGGGATAGATGTAGTTCGGAGGCAGGTGACAAGTCGTTACGAATTCAAGAAGTTGATGAGGAAGTCAATGACACTTGGGAGGTAAGAAAATTGTTAGGTATAACTTTTCGGGGTGGGAAAAGATAGTTTGTAAGAAAATTGGAACATTTTTGGGAAAAATAAGGTAATAGAAGTTAGGAATTGATCTCCCAGCTATTATATCAGGTTTTTTGAAACAATTTAATTTCAAATTTTTTGTGTGTGTCTTGGATATCAGAGGATTGGGTGAAAAGAGAAGATAAGAGCAGTGAGGAGTATGATTTTAAGGAAAAAGCCAGTTTTTGTGTTCCTACAGGAGACAAAATTGGAATTTGTAGATCAGGCTCTATTAAGAAAGTTGGGTTGAAGAAAAGTAAAAAGTTCATGTTCATCCCCTTCTGATAGGGTAGTAGGAGGTCTAGTTAATCTTTGGGATGAGAATTGATTTAAGAGAGAGCAACAATTTATTTTAGGGAGGTTCACTACAGTGAAGGGCCAAGTTAAGTAGTATGAAGAGGTTTGTTGTTTTATAAATGTATATGCTCTACTGTTGAATTAGAAAAGGAAAGTGTTTTTAAGAACTTCTTAGCTTCTTAGTACAGATGGATTGCTCTATATGTGGGGGGATTTCAACTCTTATTTGTACTTAGGGGAGAAGCAAGGGAAAACACAGAACGTGCACTCTATGAGATTACTAGGGGATTTTGTTCTTAAGGCTAAACTAACAGATCTTCCCTTATATGGAGGGAACTCTACGTGGTGAAACAATAGAGATTCACCCACGTTGTCAGACTCGATCGATTCCTAGTAAATTCCAGATTCTTGAGCTTTTATCCAGACATGGTCCAGATTCTTATTCCAAAATCGCTATTAGATCATAATGAAATACTAGAAAAGAAGGAGGTGAATTAGGGTCTGAAACTGTTCAAGCTTTTCAATTACATGATGGAGGAATAAGGATTTCAAGAAATGATGGAGTCATCTTTGAATGATATGAAAAAAGATAAGAGGAGAAAGGAGTTGCAAATATGCTGAATGAATCTAAGAGAATTATTAGAAGTTGGTCGAATAATAAACATCTCTTGATTCCGGAAGAATTTCAGAGTTAGAGAAATCTATTTCGGATATGGAGGAAGGTATATTATAGGGTTCAAAGCCAGTATCATGGGAGGCAATAGTGAACGCAAAGAAGGAATTATAGGAGCTATACAAGAAAGATGAATTAATTTGGTTCCAAAAGTCACGACAGAAGTGGATCACAAATGGGGATATAAATTGCATATATTTTCACCAGTGTGTGTTGAATAGAGGTAGAGTAAACATTTTAAAGGTCCTTAAAGTCAGTGGCAAGTGGACCTCGGACCTAAATCAGATTAAAGGTAGTGTTTTTTAATTTTTTCAAAGAGACCTGTAATATGAAGCCAAATGTGGAAGTCGATAAAATGGACCTCTAGTTTTCCAGATTATAGGATGAGAAAAGTATGATGATGGAAAGACCTTTTGCTGAGGAGGAAATTTAGGAAGCAATTGCATCCTCGAATAGCAACAAGGCGCCAGGACTGGATGGCTAAACATGGGTTTTTTTAAGAAATTCTGGCCAGTTCTGAAGGATGACATCTTAAAGTTTTTTTCCTGGATTTTTATTCAGGAAAGAGGTGGGAAAGAAGTGTGAATCATTCGTTTATATCACTGATTCCCAAGAGAATGAATCCGAAGAGCTTGGAAGATTACCGATCGATTAGTCTGATGGGTGGCCTGTATAAAATTTTGTCGAATGTTCTTTTAAGAAGATTGAGGACTTGTATAGATCCTCTTATAGGTCCTGCACAATTTGCCTTTGTGTATGGGAGGCAGATTCTAGATTACTCCTTTCTAGAGAATGAGGGGATCGATTTTTAGAGGAAAAATGTTAGAAAGGGGTGGCGTTTAAAGTTGATTTCAGAATTGCTTACGATTCAATAGGTTGGTTAATCTTGCAAAAGATTATGGACTATATGGGGTTTGGGCAATGATGGCATTCCTAGATTTCAAGCTGTGTATCATTAGCTTTGATTTATGTATTGGTTAAAGACTCTCTAACTGAGAAATTCAAGATGTCTAGAGGGTTACGTTCAAGATGTTCATTGTCGCCGTTTTTTTAATTTAGTGGGTGAGATGCTAAGCTTGATGTTGGCTAAGGCGGTTAAGTTGGGTATTTTCAGTGGGTTTTAGATCGACAGTCCTAATATGGTGTTCCCATTTTCCCATTTGCAGTTCGCTGATGATTTACTAATTTTTTGTCGTGCTTCGGAAGGGCAACTGAAGAACATAATGAGAGTTTTGACTATTTTTTGGTTGTGTTATGGGTTACAACTTAATTTGTCAAAGAGCAGAATTTTCGGCATTAATGTTGATGAATCATGCCTCAGAGTGTGGGCAGATACGATCGGATGTTCAGATGAAACCTTTCCAACTGATTATCTTGGCCTTCCCCTGGGTTTGACTAAGAATTCAGTTTCTATGTGGGAACCAATAATCCATAGATGTTACCAGAAGTAGACGGGTTGGAAAGTAAATACACTTTCTCTTACTGGGAGAACAATATTGGTGAAATCGGTTTTAAGCGGTTTGCCAATTTATTTTTTGTCGATGCATAGAATGTCGAATAAGGTTCTAAGAAAGATGAATTTGATTTTGGAAAATTTCTTATGGGGGGATTCTTCACAGAAAAATCATATCCATTGGGTGCATTGGCAGACGTTGTGCAGACCTAAAGATCAAAGGGGTTCGGGCTCATAGATTTAAACCTTTTGAACAGAGCTCTTTTGGGGAAGTGGGCATGGAAGTTTACTACAAAAAAGAGTCTTGGTGGAAGATTATGGTATGTTGCAAGTGCAGTTATGATAATATAGCATTATTAATGGATAATGTGGTATCATATAAGTCTTCTTGGTTGTGGAGGGGAATTGTGAACAACTGTTGAGTGAATGACTAATTTGGCCAATATTTTTGGAATTCTTGTCATTTGAGAGTCGGTAGGGGGATGAATGTATCGTTTTGGTTTGAGAGGTGGGTTAGCAATTTTCCTTTTAGAGTGTTATTTTCGATGTTGTTTTCTTTATCCATTAATAAAGAAAGAAAAATAGCCGAATTTGGTTTCTTTAATGTTGGGGTATGGTGTTGGGATATACAGTTGTGAAGGAATTATTGGACTGGGAATTAGAGCAGTGGATGGAGTTGTTGTCGTTATTAAATAGTGTTAAGATTAGGGATGATAAGGATGATCATTGCGTGTGGATGGGTAATGGGGAGGGGGTTTACTCGGTGAAATCATGTATTAAATTAATAAAAGGGGGTTCTTTTAAGGACACCAAGAGTGGAAACGTTCATGTGGCAGGTTGTGCATAAAAAATTTGTAGTTAAACCTGAATTAATAAAGAGAAGGGTTATTGGAATAGAGAACTTATTATGCCCTCTTTGTGGCATGTACCAAGAGATGGTTATTCACTTGTTCTTTTTGTGTTTGATTGTGTGGGGCTTATGGGGGAAGTTTTTAAGCTTATGGAATCTATCTACGGCTCTTTCTATGATTCCTAATGTTTTTTATTATCTTGGGGATGTCTAGTTCCAAAGTCTTCTATTTGGAACTTTATTCCAGGAGCTATCTTGTGGTCAATATGGAAGTGTCGAAACCAAGTGGTTTTCGAGAACGAAGGTATTGATAAAAAATAATTGTTTTTTATTTCGAGATATGGAATGATTATGGTTTTCAGTGAAATTCCCTAATTTTCCAGTTTTTCTGGATTGTCTTGTTGGTGATCCGAAATTGGCAGATGCAAGCAATCCATCCATGAAGAGTAAACTGTTGAAGGTCTCATGGATTCCCCCTCCCTCGAGTTTCTTCAAATTGAATGTGGATGGGCGTGACAAGTGATTGGAACAAAAGTGGTATTGGTTGTATATTGAGAAATGATGAGAGAAAGATTCTGGGAACTTTTTCGAGTCCTTCAGGTCCTGGTCCTCCTATACAAGCTGAATTGAGGGCTATTCAAAGTGGTTTAGCTTTGTTTGTGGAATCAAAATGGTGTGGTAAGGGTCGCTTATTATAGAGACGGATTTAGAAGTTGCAGTCAAATGGATTAAGTCTCCTGAAGCTTGTCCTAATGTGTTCTCACAGCTGGTCAAGGAAATTTTTAGTGTTGTAATGGAATATAGGGTTACTGTAAGATCAATTAAAAGGGTTGTAAATGGGGAGATGACGCTTTGGCTAAGTCGGGTATAGGGTAATGGTTTAGGAATCTTTTGTTTGGGTCAGTCTTTGTAGGGTGGGATGTGAGTAAGATGGTGGGTGGTGTTTTGTAATAGTCTGTATTGTATGAGGTATAATCTCTTTATGGAATAAAATTCTTATGCACTCTTTTCCTCCTTCCAATATCCGACGAGATACTTATGTACAATGACTAGTAAAATAAATAAACCTTAATCTTCAAAAAAATAAAAAATAAATAAGGCACCTTAATCTTCAATTTTCCACTAGTATAAAAGAAACATAAATATACCTATAAAGTTTAGCAGGAGTAGTCTTGGGAATAACATCATCTTTACTCTGAACTTTCTTTCCTATTGGAACAAAACCACCAAATAGAACCAAAACTCACCTGAGTTAAACTCAGTGTCCAATTTTTCGTCATATGTAGGGTGATTACATTAATGTATATATAAGTAAAGATTCAAAATGTACCAGCCTCAGAGTAAAATAAATAAACTTTTCACGCAATTCAATCAGTACTCATAGGTTAGTGGGAATGTGGGAAAACAACATCTTTGATAATGTAAATGCATGAACCCTTACCAACAATTGCAACATCACACATTGCATCATGATACTTTTCCTTAAAGAACTGAATAATCTCTAATGCCTTTGCCCTTTCCTGAATATTAGAGTTTGCCCCATTGAACTGATAAATCTTGTTATGAGTGTCTAGGATAAATACATCATCATGATTCAGTGAAGATCGAGCAAAAGGAACCTGAAGAGCATAATACAAAATGGTATTCACTTGATCTCAATAGTCTCACAAATACTATACAATTATTTCAAGGAACTTTTTATTCCTTGTTTCTTTCTATCCATACTCATCAAACATATGCAATGAACATCATATATATGCTTCAATCTGACAACTCTCTTTCCTTTGTAGACATATATCCATTTTTCAAACTCTACTTCTTCTGGATTTTTAAATCCAGAAGCAATACCACCTTCTCATGGGATAATGCAAGGTTTAAAGTATGATAAAAATTTGTCAGATTCATGGCCTTGAAGTCCCCTGTGCTGCACTACACGCCCTCCTAGTACTACATCCAGCTCAATTGTTTTGATAGCAGCCGTTCCAGCCTCATCCTGCATGTGACAAAACAATCTCAAACGATGTCTTAATTCATTTGAAGGCACATTTAAATCCTGAAAAATTAAGAAGAGTAAAAGTATATGCAGAAAAAACAGACCTGAGTTGTATTTTTACCAATCCAAAAGGTATATCATATGGATATGAACCACCCTTGATAGATGTTCTCTACTATAAAACGTAAAATTGATTGAGACAATAAAAATAGCAATAAATCACCTTGAATGATTTTATCTTGGCCCAGAATAATATAAAAAATTCATGTACTATTGGTGTGCGTCTACAATCAACCATGTAGAAGTCTTGTTTGTTTAGAAGTCTTTTATGATAAGAAATGATAAGTCTTTTATGATAAGAAATGATAAGTCTTAGGAGTCTCTGTAATATCTATCTCTAAATAAAATTTTATCTTTAACAATAAAGTCGTATTAGAAGTCTGTAACTTAGTTTATTTAAACTACTATAATCTCCAAAATTCAATAATTAGATTTTTTTCTTTCATTACTTCCTTTTTCTTTCCCTCTCCTTCAGGTTATTTCCTTAGATTATAACATAGTATCAGCTTAGGTTTTGTTCCTGATCATAATTTTTTAACCCATTAAACATGTCGCCAAACCCTACTGGTTCAGCCGAGATAACCAACCCTCTCACACATAAATTTGTTATTTACAGTTTTGCTATTACAACTGTCCCATATGGTTCAACCAAGATTACGAGTCCTATCATGCATTCCTTTGATGTTGAGAGCGTTGTTGTTACAATAGGTGATTTACAGAATATTCACCCGACCTGCAGTTACTCTCGATTCTGTACATATTGTAAAAAGCATCGTCACACCAGAGAGAAGATTTAGAAACTTCATGACAAGCTAATTGACAAACCCGCTCAATGTGTAACTGATTGTCTTCAAAAACTTCTGGTAAGCTCTCCATGGACCAGTAAAGGAAATAAATCTTCTCCTAAGGTTAATATTGAGGAAATTGAGAAACTGAAAAACTTTTTGAAATTTCTTGAACAAGCCATCTTCAATAGACATCTGCCCATTGACCTTTTAAGGTATCTCCTCTTCCGCTTATCCTACTATCTCAGCAAGTACCTCATCTCCTATGGGTAATAGAAATTGGAACCAATGACCATATTACTTATTCCTCAAAATATTTCCTCAACTACACCCCAAGAAGTTTCCATTCAAAGATCACCTCGGCATATGGTACCACCATTATTGTAGTTGGCCGAGGGGATATTTACCTTACTAAAGACCTTATCCTAACAAATGTTCTTAACGTTCCATGTAACATCCCAAAACTAGAGCAAGTGACTAAAATGGAAGTTTTGAAAATTTGAAGTCTGATTTTGAAAGATTTGAAATATTTTTTGGATTGTTCAGTAAATAACTGATGGAATAAGGGGTATAATGGTCATTTGACAAAGAAAGATTTGTATTTTTCCTTATAAAAGAAGTAGACACGTGGAGAGGAGAAGAAAAAGAAGAAGACTCTGGAGATGTTTGGCTTTCTTCTTCCTTTCTTCCCGTGGCTCCATTGATAAGGTAAGATTAGGTCAAGTGATTGTTTCCTTTCAATTTGAAGTTGGGTTTAATTCTTGAGATGATAATTAAGCTTAAGGAAAGCTTAATTTGTCTTAAAATCATAAGATGAAGGAGTTAAGAGAGATTAAAGATTATACGTTTTTAAATGAAATTTTGGAAAAGAGTTGATAAGTAGAATTTGAAGTTAAATTTGACTTGTCAATAGTTGAATTAAGAGATTTGGAGTGATATATTTGGATTTAGAACATATAGAAAATTTGGTATGATTCTTGAATTTCATTTGGAAGATATGATTTCGAGGATAAAGATATGATAAATGAGAATAAATGAGTTTAAGCATGAGTATGTAAGTTAAGAATAAGAAAGGGGATGATATAAGAAGCAATTAAGCTGGAAAGAGTGAATTTTCATGCATAAATTGGAATTTTGGGCTAATGTGCATCGGTACACATTCAATATGTACCGATGCATCAAGGGTAAATTCCAGAAATTATTCAGTGTGCATCGATGCACACAAGAATGCATCGATGCATGGAAATTTTGAAGCTACTTTGTGCATCGATGCACCCATAGTGCATCGATACACCCCTAAAGGAAAAAGTGAATTATAGTTCAATAAATTAGTTTAAGTTATTACCATCGAATTATAAGGTTTAGGCTTATAATAATCATCTTGGAAATTTTGTTTATGTAGATACTGAGCCTAAACAAGTTCCAGAACATTTGGCATGTAAGATCGATCAAGGGAAAGATAAGAGATCATTATTGATTAGTGAGGCCAGGTGAGTACATGATATTAAGTGTACGTTATGTATAGGGAATTAAGACTTGCGACGAGTCTAATTCCGCTATTATGTGATTAGGGGTACTGAAGCATAAACATGTAGTGATATGTTGCTAAATGTATTGTATATGAGTAAATTCATATGTTTAATTGATTAAATGCATCTTTATATGTGAACTATATAAATTTATGTATGTGTGATAATAAGTTATGTGATTCCATGAGATGAAATATATATGAAAGTGATATGGCTATATGTGTTTCTACTAGAATGTTACATGATATGCTATGTATGCTAAATAATTGATGTGAATACATGTTAGTGTAATAATCTAGGTTAAATGTTATAACTGAATGAAGGGATTTAATGAGAATATGTATATGTGAACATGTATTATAAGATAAGAATCATGACTATGAGTTATGTAAAAAGAATACAAGTAAAGGTGAAAAACTATGTGATAAGTGAATGTGAATTACATGGAAATATGCTATGTGAAAGTGAACTATGTGCCTATGTGAATATGTGAAAAGATATAAAAGGTAATGCCCATGTCATGTGTTATGAGAGCTATAGGTATAGTTGGCATGCCAAGAGTCGAGAGATTATAGTGGTCCTTCGGGACATAGTGGTCCTACAGGATAAATTCTACGCGCAACTAGTAGGAATTTTACGAGCTGTGGTGACAACATAATGCACAACCTCTATATACTCGCATACCTTAAGTTCTCAAAAGAGTGCATGGGCTTTAAAGAGAATCAATAATTGTTATGATGATATGTGTGTTCTTTTGTGATATTATATTTGTGTTATGTGACATGTATAAATGATAAGTTCAAAATCATATGATAAGGTGAATGAGGATAATAATAATGAGAGTATATGTGTCTTTGTGATGTGAAGTTATTGATAGTAATAACAGAATCTACATAGGTGTATTTTTGAATATATATAACGTTATACTGTTTTGTGTGATAGTATGGTATTACGTGTTAATGATGATTTAAGTATGAATATGAATATGATGTGGTATTACATGAAATATCTATATATAGATACATGCATGCATTGGTTAATTATATTGTGTATTTACATGTCTCACTAAGTCATAGACTAAGCATGTGAATGTTTCACACGTAGGTTTGAGAAGCGAGAATGGAAGAAGTGATGAGCAAGACATGTCAGTATCTTCCTTACGAGGATTAGATTAGAAACATATTGAACATATGTATTTTGTTTATAGAGTTAGTTGGCATGTAGTTACAAGATTTTGAATTGAATATTCTCTAATCATTTTAAAGAAACAATTTGATTGTAATTATTAAGGTAAAATATCCATTTTCTTAAATGATGAATTTAAGATTTTACGAATTGTAAAGAATAGAGTTTTGGAAAGCTAATGTGACACCTCGGACTCAGATTCGGGTTGGATATGGGTTGGGGGTGTTACATTCCAAATCTCTGTCAACTTTATTCTATTCATAGATTAACCACTGATTTGAATTGCAGTGTAATATTTTCCCTTTCATATTGTATTTTTCTAGTAATAGACATGAAGAGGATGATTGGATCTGCTAGTTAGAAATATAGCCTCACCTTCTTGGAACAAACAAGAAATATATTATATATCAGCAAGTAATGTTTCCATATCTACATCATTTCAATCTAAATCTGTAGGACAAACCAAAATAAAATTGGCTTTGTCATCGTTGTTTAGGTCATCCATCGTTTAGGATATTTCAATTCACGTTCCCTCCTCTATTTAAAGGTATTGCTCTTGATAATTTTCATTATATTGATTGTGAGTTGGCCAAACACAAACGTGTTTTATTTCCAATAAGCAATAAATGAGTTTCTGTTCCTTTTACTCTTTTTCTTAGTGATATTTGGGGTCCTTTTACTGTTCCAAATGATTCTAGTGCTTAATAATATCTTTTATAAATGATTGTACTCGTGTCATATGGATCTATCTCCTCAAACATAAATTTTATGTCAACAGTGTCTTTCCTAATTTTTATAATATGATTCATACTCAATTTGCTGTGAAAATTAAAAGATTTAGGTTAGACAATACACAAGATTTTTTTAATCAAATCCTTTCCATATTTTTTCAAGAAAAAGGAATTATTCATGAATCCTCATGTGTATTGCATTCAAAGTCCAATTGATATCCTCCTTAATTTTTTTCTTGACTTCTTGGTATCACATTATCTAATTCTAGTTGTTTCGGGGGTGTATTGCATTTGTTAATGTTCATTCTCAACTTAGGGGGAAATCAGATTCGCGTGCAATAAAATGCATTTTCATTAGACACTCATCTACGCAGAAAGGTTATAATGCTATCATTCACCCTCCAAAAATTTTAATAGCGTGATGTAACACCCTCAACCCGTATCAAACCCGGATCCGTGTCCGAAGTGTCACATGTACTTTTCAAACTTATACTTGTATACAAATATGAAAAATTCTCCACTTATATTAAATAAAATTTCATAATTCATATTATTACAAATAAAATGTTTTTAAAACTGATCAGAGCGTATAATTCAGACATTGATTACATGCCAACTACTTTCAAATTCATAAAATAGATATGATTTCTAAACTCTTGTTTGATATGATTTCGAAACATTCACACTGTTTCACACGCCAAGTCGAAGACTTAGTGAGATATAAAAACTTATAGTGTAAACTCTAACTCCTAACAATGCATGAACATTTCATAAAATGATATCATACAAAATCATATGATATTTCATATAATCAAGTATATCCATATACCTAACCCATCATTTCCATCATTACTTCATTTCATTATCATTCATATCTCTTAA